CTTTCTAAGTCGATCTATGACGAAAAAATTTTTTCGATCAGCCGAAAATTTTCTAAGTGACAAGCCTAGCTTTATTTGACTCCGTAATCTGGGCAACGGGCAAGCTAGTGTAATTTATAGTAATCGAGACGGGCAAGGATTGATTTGCATACGGCTCAATGCTATGATAGCTAGTCATGTGAAAATGTGCTTTAAAATTCCCCTGAGCCAAACCTATCTCCGTTAATATGCGTTTTGAACCTTTCTAAGTTGGTCTATGACGAAAAATGTTTTTCGGTCAGCCAAAAATTTATTTGAAACCGAAATCCGGGCAACGGGCAAGCGTAGTGTAATTTATATTAATGGACGGGCAAGCGTAGTGTAATTTATAGTAATAGCATAGTTGCCCGGGTTTCTTTTGTTTCAACAGGGTCGATTACTAACTAATCGCCCGCTGTAGCGGGCGATTAGTTCTAATCGCCCGCTAGAGCGGGCGATTAGAACTAATCGCCCGTTACCAAGGGTCACACCTTTGTCTCCCTGACGACTACGCATTAGGCAAGTGCCTCACGCACATAATCCGTGCAAGGAACAGCAACAGTTAGCTCAGAGCCGTCAATAGTCTATCATCCGATCCCTGAGTTGCCGCATCATTTAAATTACGTCCGTGCAGTCTCCAATTTTATACTAATATATTTAGCGTTTTTGTTGTGGTACGTTAAATGATAGATTGCGCATGCGTAACCGATTAAAGCGTAAAAAGTGCGCATGTGCAACAAGCTTTTACATCCCACAAGCAATGAAGCAAATGTTTCAGCTTAAATACGCTGATTCCAAGTAGGGTACGTTTGTCCATTTTTAAATGGGAGCGAAACTATGCTATTACAAACTAATAGCATGGCTTTTCGGGAGATTAGTGATTAAATGACCCCTTACCCTCGGCAGGTTTGCGGAATTCCCTCGGGCTTCGCCCTCGGGAATTCCGCAAACCTGCCTCGGGTTACGGGGCCATTTAATCACTAATCTCCCTCAAGCCATGCTATTACTTATAAACATAGCATAATGCCTGGATATAATGTGTGGGAAAACGAGACCTATAGGCTTCGGGCGAGTTTTTCCACGTTATTCGAGTTCTCCCAAACTACTACAAGTGTTTCTATAACTGTATGGGTCACACATAATAAATGTTTTATATTTATTTCCTAATATAACTAAAAAAAAGATTTGTAGTAGACTCGATATATTTACAAATTCTCATTGCGTAATAATGCCGACCTTTGCTCCATCAATTCACTGCAAGAAACCCTTTTTGCCTTTATCAGCAAATATCGCTATAAGCCTAATTTCGCAACTTTTATGCAAAGAATCTAACGAAAGGTGTATCCTTTGCTACAAATTGACGTATATAAAGAAAAGAAAGGGAAATTCTACCGCGACATTTGCCGATAAAGTGGTATTAATTAAATCACTACAGAAAAAATAGAACAAATTACAGAAATACAAAACAAGCTGCGGAAGTGGGAAGGTTTTTGTATTTTGACTGTAAGAGTTTCTTAATTTGCATTAAAATTGTTTTGTTTACGATTGTAAGTTTAGGCGGGAAATTTCCCGTGTAGAAACACGCTTCTCGACCAATCAACACACGCGTACTATAAATGTTCTATTTTATCAGAATTTATGCATTTGGTACGGCTCATGGAAAGCACGGCAGTATAAATCAACATGTGCTTCAGCCGTGTAGCACGCCTGAACCAGGCGAACTTATTAATTTAGCCGTGCTTAATATTAAGTGCAGTGCTTAATTGATTTAGACGCCGTGCTTCTCATGTGCTTAATTCATTGTATTAAGCTCGGCTCATGAAAAGCACGGCGTCTAAA